TAATAATTTATAAATTATCAAGGGTTCATAAGGGAGGGGGAGGGGGAGCGGGGAGGGAGGGAGGGAAAAAAAGAATGAAAAATGAGGAGCTGATTCCAAGAGCCCAGGTGGAAAGCAAATGTTTCGAGAATGCTGAGGGCAACAAATGTATAAATGTGCTTGACACATAGACTTACTGAAGCCCCTTGTATATTTAGCTGTGTGCCCGTCATCCTCGGAGAGGCCTTCATTCATCAAGCTTTAGCCAAAACGAGTTAGAGATCTGAACAACTTCAAGTTTCTTTGGAAAGTTAAAATGCTTACTTTCCAAAACAGTCTATGATAATTTTGAATTCTTATACAATGAATAAGATACTCTAAGGAAGCACACATCTGTTTGGTCCATTTCAATGCTTGAAGCCGAACTCATGACAAAAACTTCCTCAAAGCCATTCAGAAATCAAGATGTCATGTGAAATGGCTTTTTACTAAACAAAGATTACTGCATCCTTTACCAAATTGGGGGGGCGGGGGGTGGGGGTGGCACGTGGGCTGCCTTGCCTAACCTTCTCAGGGGCAAGTAGCCAATCTCTGAAGATGAGCCGTCAAATCATTTACGGAGTCAGTAAAAATGGTGCCTGGCTTATCTATTCGGTAAATCTCCATGAGGGAAAAGATAGAGATCTTGACCAATAAGGATGAAGGAAAAAAAATACAAATTAGGAAGCCACTGAAAGCTAGATGCTGATTAAAAACATACACTTAAAGTAGCATTTGCTAAGTTTTCTTACAAACTGTAAAGACAGTAAGTGCAGACAAATATTAGATGGAGGCTACCACTTCCTCCCAGCATCTGCAAAGAAGTATCCTAGGAATGTCTAGTTACATAAATGCCTCCTAAATACGAATTCCATGATTCTGATGAGGGCTGCCACAACACTTAACCCCACTGGCGATGGGTTGGTCATGCAATCGTGGCCTGGGTTAATGTCCCTGGCCAAGATACGGTGGACACTTGTTTAACTTCATGTTCATGCCTGTGGTTAAGGGAAATTATGAACACCCTGAAAGCACATGTGAATTTTTACAGGTAAGTACCTACACACACTTTCTCTCTGAAGAGAAATCTGAGCTATTTTCAGGTTCTCAAAGGAATCACTGACCTAAAAAAAAGTTAAGAAGCACTGCATCGAGGCAATTAGAGGGTAGGAGGATTAACCACAAACTTGGCATGATTCCTTTATAAATGTATTAAGCAGAAACACCTGTAAACGCCCTTGCTTTCAACACTAAGTAGTCCTGTTATGTAATAGAATCCCCTTGTCACTTGTATTACGCCAGACCAATAGCTTACTCTGAATCTTCTTTTGAAAAGAGCTCATCAGAATGTTCTGATGTGCAGCGCACAGGTATGGACACTCTTCCTTTACACTGGTCCCTCAACAGAAAACATGATGAACTTTTAACTGACGATCCCCTGCCTGTGTCATACGCTGTGTTCATCACCTACGACCTACAGTTAATTGAATCACTATAACTGGGGAACATATAGCTAGCACTGAAATCAGAGTCCTGATTGTATATTTTTACATAAGAGGCAGTTCTAGTGTGCATTTCAGCCAATTTGGTCATCATTTAAATTATTTTTACTATTCAAAGTTTATATGCAAGAGGAAATTCACTTTGGGGGTAGGGTTATACCAGCCACTCCATGAGAGAAAGACCTGGCACGCTGTTCCCATGTGATACAGCCTCTAGAACCCTCTGGGGCAGTTCTACTGTCTCACTGGGTCTGAGTTGTCATTTATGTTCTGGCGTTCTGCATTGGGCTGCGACCTGCATGGTTCTCAGTTTGAAACCACCAGCAACTCCTCGGAGAAGACTGGACTCTCCACTCCAGTAAACAGTGATAGTCTGGACACCTACTGGGGGGTCGCTATGAGTCAGCATTGACTTAATGACAGTGAGTTTGGTTTGCTTAAAACTACCATCATTATCAGGATACAAAACAATTTCAACACCCTAACAATGTCCCTCTTGGTACTCTGCGATAGCTAGACCGTTTTCCAATTCCTAATCCTGAGCAACTACTACCAATCTGATCTCTGATCTCATAATTTTGCCCTTTCTGGAGTGTCATATAAATGGAATCACACAACAAGTAGCCTGTTGTAGTTTCCTTCTTTCACTGAGCACAACACATTTAAATTCATCCAAGTGATTGCCAGATCCATAGTTGTTCCTTTGTATCACTGAGTCAGATCCCACTGTTGGGAGTACTGCCGATACTATTCTTTCCCCTAGTGAGGGAGAGCTGGACTCTTGCAAGGCTTTGGTTAGTGTAAATCATGCTGCTTTAAACACAGCCATGTACGGTTATTTGTGTGTGTGTGCTTGTGTGCGTGTGTGCGTGTGCGTGTGAGAGAGAGAGAGAGAGAGAGAGAGAGAGAGAGAGAGAGAGAGAGAGAGAGAGAGAGAGAGAGAGAGAGAGAGAGAATATAAGTTTTCATTTCCTGGTACAAGTACCAAGAGTAAGAATGCTGAGTCATTTAGTAAGTGTATGTTTTAATGTCATAAAAAACTGCCAAACTGTCTTCCAGAGTACCTCTACCACTCTGCATTTCCTTTAATAATGGATGAGAGAATCCAATTGCTCTTGAATGTATTGTTGGTAATTTTACTTTGAGCCATTCTTAAAGGAGTCCCTGGGTGGCACAAATGGGTCTTTCAGTGCTTGACCACTAAGTCAAAAGGAGGGTGGTTCAAAACCACCCAAGGCAGCTCAAAAGACAGGCACAGTGATTTGCTTCTGACAGAGCCTAACCTTGACAATTCCATGAAGCACTTCTTCCCGTCAGTCAGACTGTACTCAATGACAACTAACAACAACCACAGGTGTGCAGTAGTATCCATGTGTTCAAATGGGTTTCTGCCTGGGATATGACTGCTTAAGTAAATTTTTACAACAGAAACGCTACGAGTACATGGAAAGCATGCAAAAATATTAAAGAGTTCCTTCCCATTAAAGACAGAGAAGTTAAGGCTACAGAAGAGAAAGACTGGCCCAAAATTTCCATGTATGTTTTTCTAATAGTTCATTCTAATCACAGATAAATGTAGAAATAATCCAACTCCTATTCCTTCTTGGGTAAGATAAAACTGAATGGAGGTGTGTAGGGGGGGGGGGGATTGTTATAGCCCTACAAATAACTAACAGTTCCACCTTGACGCTGATTTATAAAATACAATTAAAGGAAATGCAAAAGGTATGCGGATCCACCCATGCTGTTGTTAAGTGTTTCTAAGTCATGGCGACTGCAAGTGTGCAGGATCACGCCGTCATTTTCAAGGCGGTGACCAGTTGAAGCAGAATACCAGGGTCCTCTGAGGTACTTCTAGGTGGGTTCAAACTGCCAGGTGTTTGGGTAGTAAATCAGTACTTAACTGGTTGTGCCACCCAAGGGGCTCTTCAGAAGATTCTGAGCAGAGAGGCATGCCTACTCAGGTCTGCTGAGAAAATCCATCAGGATCACCCCACTGGAATCTCCAAAACCCTCAGCACCGACTGACCCCTTTGCCTTGGATTTAGCTGACGGAGCAGATCCACTCAGAAGCTACTGTTTGCCCAGACTCAGTTCTCGACATGGCATTAGTAGATCCAAGACTCATCTCTGGTTAGGGTCTGTGCCATAAAACTGTGTTCAATAGCATCAATTTTGTTTAAAAGAATGGTGGAAAGAGCTACTCTTCATGCAACGCTCTTGGGACTCGACTCATCAAGCCTGCTGAGGACAAGACAGCACTTTAAATTAAACTAGCCAGGCCATGTGAGATCTTAACTTGGGTATCCATAACATCAATCCTCATTCTATGATCTTCTGCCACCAGTCTCTGGACTTCAGTGACAATCTATCCATCCACTGACTTAGGAGTCTTCCCTCTATTGGCTCATCACTGATGTCTTCCCAAGCTTCCTTACAACCTATGATCCACCCAGAATCTGTTGTTTTATCTGTGCAACCTTCTCAGAAATTTGTTGCAAAACTTCATTCACTTGGGACAATGTTGACTTGAATTTTATTAAAAATTTGATGTTAATCTTGATATCAAAATAATTTTTGACATGGCATAAAAGGTATCTTCTTTTTCAATTGGGGGCTCATACAGCTCTTATCACAATCCATACATCCATCCATTGTATCAAGCACATTTCTACGTATGTTGCCATCAACATTTTGAGAGACAAAGGTAAGTGTGCAGCTACTCGCTGATCTGAGAGACATGTTTAAACATGCTTTCTCTGCAATAAATGTGTTCAGTCATACATGCAACATAACCGCAGGTATACAGATGCTTGCTTACCCTTGTACAGAGAGCTATTCGTGATTATTGGTGCTTTCTAAAAAGTGAGCTTTTTAAAGATTTCACTTCAGTGGAATCTACAGAAGGTCCTCGGAGCACCTTCATTGCTATGTTGTTGTCATTAGTGTTAGGTGCCGTCAAGTTCCAGACTCAAGGCTCCCTACGTAAAGCCAGTGGGGAGGGAGGGAGGTGTCACTTCTCTGCTTAATGAAGCACGGCGTCTCCCAGTGCACACCCTGCTTCCATACTCCCTCCCCTCAATCTTTCTTTTTCTCCAACTCAAAAGCACTTCAAAATTAAATTATGAAAATCCTGTCTTTGGTGATAAAACGTGATCAAATAACAAAAAATGGTAGTATGCTGGCTACTCCTTGGGTTTCTTTGCTTGAGAACAAGCCTGGGGGTAGTCATGAGCCCCACGCTACTTTAAGAGAGACTTTTAAACAACACAGGAGGCTTCCTTGGGTGCTTGCACTACAAGAACAGCTCAGGCAAACAATGCGTGACGCCACCTTGCTATTAAGTATAAGATTTATGCAGCTATGGTGGAAGAAGTCCTGAAGACAATGACCACATACATAATTCACATGAAAGCATTCACATTTAAACAGCAAAACCCAAAACTCCAAGGTTTGTTTGTGGGACGTACAGATGCTTACCATGCAAAGTCTGATCTGCCCCCAGCACATTCCACTCTGCTGGCAGCTTCAGGTGTCTGAACGCCAGCGCTACCTTCTCATCTAGGGAATTCACATCCCCAGAGGGAGGGCCAGACCGATCAAGAAAGCGGGTGAAGTTCAGGGCCTGCTGGTTTCCAGCGCAAGTCGCCAGGAACTGGGCCGCGTCATAGGCCTCGTCTTGGATGAAATGGAAGTCTTCCTGAGCCACAACAAACACAGGCAGCCCCTCTTTGGAAGCACAGAGCAGCACCTTCACCGTCTCACAGCAGTCGTGGCCTAAGGAAGACACAAGCAGCAAGACAATGGTGTCAGTCCTCTCCAATGCTCGGCTGACTTCTGAAACACCCCTCCCTCCTTGCTCCGAGCGCTCACAGCATTATTCCTAATGACTCCCAGCGCCATTTCCAGCTGTTTGCTAGGTGCATGTATGACACAGTGCCTTAACAAAGAGTAGTCAGCATTTTATCCCATCCCATAGCAGAGTGTTTGGCAATTAACAGGTCCTGAACATCAACTACTGCTGCTCAGTCTGAGGAAACTGAAGACCAAAAACACAAGAATCCAGTAACACGTAGTATACAACAGGAAATCTAAACAAAAATCAATCTGAAAATGCAAAAAACAAATAAAAAACGAAGCTCATTGCCATCGAGTTGATGCTGACTCACAGTGACCCTACAGGACCGGGTAGAAGGGCCCCTGTGAGTTCCAGAGATTCTAACTATTTATGGGAGTAGAAGTACTCCTACAGGTAATATGGGAGGAATTTTACAGATTCCCCAGAACGTTCTGGAAGATTACCACAATGGAAGCGATCAAATGGGGATGTGATGAAGCGCTTCAGAAGGTCCACATGCTATACACGATCCAATTATTTCAGTGAAGTGTTTGAGAGCCACAGCTGGATGGAGGAACAGCCGGTTTTTCTCGGGCTACCCCCCAAGCGACCACCCCCCTCTTTGACAGGTGCGGTCTTCCCACTTCCTCTTGCTCACAATTGGGGGAAAGCATGTGCGTTTTCCTTCTCCACCAGGTTGCTAGCTTTCACAGGTTTAAACTGGATCAGCACTCCAAGGCCTAGATATTAATTTTTTGTTCTCAGATGCATGTTCTTTCCTGTCTCAACCACTAATGTAGCAAGGACTTCAAATCAAATGACCTGATTACAGAACGCTGACACAACACTGTGTGTGCCCACAATCCCATTTCACAGACTAGCAGCGACCAAAGGAGCCGTACCTTTGGGCAGCAAGATCAGCCACCTCGAGGACTTGGATCAGCTGACTCTAGCCACACTGTTTTTCTATAGGTAAGGATACCCTGGAGAAAGCAGACTTAGTACTGGGTTTTCAGATTCACAGTATATGTGGAAAATGTGTGTTAAATGCTTATTGTGCTTCCTCAACTTTCAAGCATTGACCTCAACTTGCCAGAACCATACTCTGGCCACCAACATCCTTCTTCCATAAAACACCTTCCTGGTGAGAAAGGGGAAAGACGCCACTCATGCTTTACTGTTGAGTTGCCTCACTTCGTGCTTTGGTGGATTAACCACAGGCACCAATCTGCCCCCCAGCCAAGCCTGCTCTTCCACAGCAGGGGGGACGCTGAGAGGAACCCCTGGGTGGTTCATGTTGGGGGCACAAGCTGCAAGAGGTTTCAAGCTGTGAAAGCACAGACTAAGCTTTCTGTAATCTTTGGAAGAAAATCATATCTCTACCAATGAGATCAATCAGAATAATAAATAAGTTGATTTCCTACCTAGTTTTTTTCTGTAAGCCATTCACCCCTCTATGGCAGAACACATCCCCCACTTCTAAGTAATTGCAAGGTAGCAGGAAGCAGTCACCTATTTACTACAATACCAAGGCATCTGAAATGTCATTTTCTTTACACAAATAAGTTTATAGGTTATCTATTAGCCTCAATCTATAGATGAGAACCAAGACTGCAAGAAGTAAAATAACTTCTCAAAGGATGGGTAGCTTAGCAACAAAATCCATTACTCAAAGCCAAGTCTGATGGTAAATCACATGGCCTATGGCATCATGGTACAGGAGTTTTGTACTACATTGCCTATAATACAAGCAAAGGAGAGGGGTAACAGCTAAATTCCTGCCTGTGTTCTAGCACCTGGAACATGGGCCAGTATGTCTAGTAAGCAATAGCAGAAGGTTCATGAGCCATCAAGATCTGTCCTCGACAAACACATAACCCCACAATGGAAGAGCGTAAGTACATCCATTACATTCCCAAACTGACTCTTTCTATGAAGGCTGTAGGAAGCTGAAGCAACCTTGGTCTCGTGTATGTATTACATGTTGTGGCTGTGTGTATGTATTTCAATTGTGTCTGCGGGTATGTGAGTGAACTCATAATTGAAATTAAGAAAAAGAGAAGAAAAAAAAACAAAACCTTTTTCTTTGAAGAGCTGCCAGCCTGGTTGGTGAGACAACAGTGGTAGCAGAAATAGGTCAAGTGATTCAGGTAGAGGTTTTGAGTACATCCCTAGCAAAAAAGTACCATATATACTCGAGTATAAGCAGACCCGAATATCAGCCGAGGCACCTAATTTTACTACAAAAACTGCATTTAAAAACATGCTGAAAAACTCGGCTTATACTCAAGTATATATGGTAAAGGTTCTCTTAAAAGGTGCTACAGCATCTGGCTCAGTCTGTTCAACAACTAACAGCTGAACAATCACCAAACCCGGACACTGATTACAAAGTGAAGAGGCATAAATTAGAAGCCTCAAAAAACTCACTGTCGTTGACTGGATTAAAACTCACATAGGGAGGACAGAGTAGAACTAACCCCTTTGGTATTCCAAGACCTCAGATCTTTATGGAGCCGCTGGTGGGCTGGAACCATATACGTTGTGGTTAGCAGCTCAACACACAGCACAGTATGCCACCAGGGTTTAGAAGGGTCCACCTAAATTCTCTGTCATCAAGAACAACATACTCATTACTTTCCAAATAAATTAGACAGAGAGATAGCAAGATATATGCTTCTCAGTCATAGAAAAACTGTTACTGCTCCCATTTAGGAATTTCAAAATAAATTAAAAGCACTGTACAACTGTTCAGAATTGAGCTAGTTCATCAACTCCTGACAATCCTTTGATGTGGACATGACTATCAACCAACACTAAAGCCACAGCTCACCATAATAAGTTGACAATTTAGCATCTAACCCAAATTCTACCTTCAACCCTTAAAGTTACCATACCCTACAAAACATACTACACTAAAATAATAATGCACACTGTCCTTCCTCAAGCCTGCATAGAACTTTACAATGCAATTAAGTTTTTGTTGGTTTTTTTTCCCTAAGCCCTCAGATGAAAAAGCTGAAAACATGAACCGGAAATGGAGTTACAATGCCACCAAAAGTAGGCATCATTTACTGGTCCATAAAATCACTTTCTGTGACAAATGGGTGCATAATCAAATGTGGTGAAGAAAGCGGATGGTGCCTGGCTATCAAAAGACATGGTATCTGGGGGTCTTAAAGGGTTGAAGGTAAACAAGTGGCCATCTAGCTCAGAACAAAGCCCACATGGAAGAAGCACACTGGCCTGTGTGAACAAGGGGTGTCAAAGGGATCAGGGATCAGGCATCGAAGAACAAAAAATCTTATCACTGTGACTGAGGGGCAGTGTGGAGTGGGGACCCAAAGCCCATTTGTAGGCAAATGGACGACATCCTCTTACAGAAGGGTCAAGGGGAGGAGACGAACCAGTCGGGTTGCAGTATAGCAACGATGAAACATACAACTTTCCTCTAGTTCTTAAAAATGCTTCCTCCCCACCACTATCATGATTCTAATTCTACCCAACAAATCCAGCTAGACCAGAGGATGTACACTGGTACAGACAGGAACTGGAAACAGGGAATCCAGGACAGATGAACCTCCCCAGGGCCTGTGGTGAGAGTGGCGATACGGGGAGGATGGAGGGAAGGTGGGGTAGAAAGGGGGGACCAATTACAAGGATCTACATATACCCCCCTCCCTGGGGGGGTGGAAAACTGAAAAGTAGGTGGAGGGAGACATCGGTCAGTGTAAGACATGACAAAATAATAATAATTTATAAATTATTGGATTCATGAGGGAGGGGGGCGGGGAGGGAGGGGGGAAATGAGGAGCTAATACCAAGGGCTCAAGTAGAAAGCAAATGTTTTGAGAATGATGATGGCAACAAATGTACAAATGTGCTTGACACAGTGGATGAATCTATGGATTGTGGTAAGAGTAGTACGAGCCCCCAATAAAATGATTTTTTTTTAATCACCTTCTGTTTATACCCAAAGTTTAAATGATATTCTAACTCTCGTTTTATCACTGGCTCTTCAGTGCGGGCACACATACACTCACACATGCACACAAGGGCAAAAGGCCACGGTGAAGCAATACCTCTTTACTGGAAACTGAACTACACAGAAGTAAAGTGTCCGCACAGAAATCTGTCTGGGGTTGCTAAACTGTTTACTCAGGCAGGAAGGGGGTGGTGACTAATAAGGAGAGAATTGAAAATATTGCGATATAGGGAATATATGTGTACGTGCACATATATGTGGATACACGTACCTGTGCTTATTAGCACAAGTCTGTGTACCTTTCTGCCACTCTAGAAGATAATTTATTAGCAGGCAGAAGCGTGTCTGGGTGAGCTTTATCGCTACTCTGTCTGTATCTGTATATGAGGGTAAGTCAAAAAGTATTGCGACTTTCCAGTACATACATGCATACATAGATTTACTCCAAACAACACAATAACATCTGTGACATTTGAACGGCTACAGATAAGTTCTCTCAGTAATGCACTTGTCTCAGCCTCCTTAGGGTGCCTTCAAAGACAAGGAGCACAAGACAAGCAAGGGGGCTCCTTATGAAAGAGATTTGAAGAACACACTGCAAACTGGGTGAATGGCACAGAGACCAGGAAAGCTGCGCTCAGGGCATTTGTCCATGAGAACAATGCGCCTGCTCATTCGTGGAGGGAAGCAAGGGCTGTCAAGGAGAACTTCCTTGGGGACCTTTACCCCACTCAGCCTAAAGCCCTGACCAGGCCCCTTCAGCCCTCTTTTGTTTCCCCAAACTCAATGGACACTTGAAAAGGACACGACCTGAGTCCCCTGAGGAGGCCAAAACGGCCATTTTGCGTGCTGTAAGCCAAAGACTACAGAATTCTCCAGGGGAAGGTTGGAGAGATGGAATCCCTCCTGCAAAAGAGTGTATGGCCTAGATGGAGAGTGTACTGAGAAACCACA